CAAGTAATATATTTATTCTTCGGGATAAGTGTATTGCTTGTAGTATTGTATTAAATCATCTAAACTATTTAAAAATGTGAGACTCGTTTGGTCTCACTTATTTTAAAAATTAAAAAACATTACTACTTTAAAAAAAAGTTATATTTATATTTAAATTATTTTCAAAATCCCAAAATCATCACCTTTTCAAACTACGAAAGTGAAATTGAACAATAAAACGGCCGACAACGGTGTATCCTCCTTGCCGAGGATTTGGATTCTAACATGATCAAATTCAAGATTCAATCTTGCCAAAAAATCATATATCCGATCCTTCTCAATGAACTTCTTCAAGGTGGCAGCATCATTTAGGCATTTCATCTCAATTACACGATAGTCATCCAGTTCCTGCCACAGATTCTGCAATAGAGTTGCATACTCTGTGATAGATTTGTCTCCTTGTTTGGTTGCTCCGATTTTTTCCTTGATTTCATACACAAGGGCAGCATCGCGGGCTTTCGAGTATGTGCGGTTGATATAGTCCCAGATTTTCTTTGTGGTGTTCAAGAACATGCAAGTGTCACTGATTGTTGGGTCCATATAATCCCATAGCCAGGACATAATCATGGAATCCTCCTCTTCCCATGCTGTTTTTTTTTGTCTGGTTCCAAGTAAGTGAATAATCCTCCCTTTGCCTTTTAGGTATGTGCAGACAATTTGGGACCATTTGAGATAGTTATTCCCATTGAACCTATTGGATGCCCGAATATTCTACAACTCTTCAATTTTCTGAACAACATTGTATTCTTCAGAATGGTTGGAGTAGTTGGAGATAGTGGTTTCGGACATTGACATGATGGAGAAGAAAAATTTGCAGCAATTAAGGCTAGAATCAACCTACAGTGGTAAAAGAATCACAACAATTAAGGCAGCGAATAAAAAAAATCCAAACAACGGCAAAGATCGCGAGATCTACGGCACAAGATTGCAACGACAAACAGTGGAAAAAGATCGCAAGCTCTGCAACGATCACACAGCGGCAAACAGCGCAAAGTACTTCAGCGGCAAAGATCGCAGAACGCAGATCTGCGTCGTGATTAGCGGCAAAAGACGATGATATTCCTCGTGACAACGTGCTGCTCCTCTCGGACGAAGCAGAGAGGATGGAGCGCAGATCGTAGAGAATCGACCCTAACCGGAAGGATCGAATGGCGGCAGCAGGCGGTGTCTTCTAGGGTTTGAATCTGTCTCTGATACCATGTGAGAAATCAAAAAAATAATTTGTATTTCGTCTTATTCTTTGAATTGATCATACAAGGTATTATATAAGAAATTAAAAGGAGAAAAACTAGGAAACTATTTAACTAATTTCCTTAATTTAAGGGATTACAAATTTATTCTAATTTTCTTATTTTAAGGGATTTATCAATTAATTCTAATTTACTTAATTATGGAAATTAGAATTAATTCTCACAACTTTATTTTCATCTCAGTCACATCTCGACGTGGGAAATCAAAGAAATAATTTGTATTTCGCCTTATTTTTTGAATTGATCATACAAGGTATTATATAGGAGATTAAAAGGAGAAAAACTAGGAAACTATTTAACAAATTCCCTTAATTTAAGGGATTACAAATTTATTCTAATTTCTTTATTCTAAGGGATTTACCAATTAATTCTAATTTCCTTAATTAAGAAAATTAGAATTAATTCTCACAACTTTATTTTCATCTCAGTCACATCTCGACACTTGAACTGACTCAAGCTGAGGAATAGATGTCTTCCATTCCCAGCTTGGATACAAGATCATGGAAACTTGAACTGTTCAGCCCCTTTATTAAAATATCGGCTAATTGTTTTTCTGATGGAACATAGGAAACAT